TGCTTGCCGGGGTCCTGGGTGGCGGTGTAGCCAGCGTGGGAGGAAGTGGGACCGGCACGGTCGCCCATCGGGCGGTGGTAGCCGGAGTCGGTGTTACCAGCGGCCTGCGAGACACAATCGGGGAAGGTCGAGCCCGGACAGGGGGAGGAGGGGAACAGAGTCAGAGAACACGACCAGGGGGGGGGGGGCAGGGCGGGGCGGGCGGGGGGTGAAGGAGGAAGGCGACACGCACAGCCTGCTTGCCGGGGTCGTGAGTGGCGGTGTACTCGGCGTGCGAGGAGGTCGGGCCAGCGCGGTTACCCATCGGGCGGTGGTAGTTGCCGTCGGTGTTGCCGGCGGGGGCCATGGCACCCGGGTCGTGGGTCGAGGTGTACCCGGCGTGCGAGGAGGTCGGGCCGGCCAGATCACCGGAGCGACGGAAGCCGGGGCCGGTGGGGGCGGCGCCGTACATGCGGCCGGGGTCGTGGGTGGCCTTGTAGGTGCTGGTGGAGGAACCAGGGCCGGCAAGAGTGCGACGCATGATGTGGTGTCTGCGCCGTGTACGGGCGCCCGGGGAGGGGTGCGGGAGAGAGAGAGAGAGAGAGAGAAGGGGCATGAAAGTCAGTGGGCAGAGAGGAGGAGGAGGAGGAGAGAGGGAGATCGAAGAGGAGCATGATGAAGAGGAGGAAGAACAAGGATGGGAGGCGGCAAGGCGCGGCCGGCAACGGGAGGGCGACATACAGTAAAAGGGACCGGGGTGGAACCGCGGAGGAAGGAGGGGCGGAGGACAAAAGGGGGAGAAAAGAACAATCCGAGGATCATCTGCCACGCCGCTGGACGAGCGACCCGGCGAGGGTGGGTGACTCTTATACCCATGCTCGCTGACGCATGCGCCCCCGCGCGCGCACACACGCACAGACGCACAGACGCACAGACGCACAGACGCACAGACGCACAGACGCACAGACGTACGGACGTACGGACCGGGGGGGGGGGGGGGGGCGGGGGGGGAAAACCCCCGGGGGCCGGGACGCACATCGGGCGCCACACACCCCGCGCACCTTCCACCAGGGACGCGGATTGTACCAGCCCCTCGCGCCCGGAAGTGGTGGGCAGGGGTGTCTCAGGGGCCCTGGGGGGTCGCAAGCCCGCGGCGCCGGAAACCATCGAGCTCGCCGGACGCCCCGTGTGCCTCGGGGCAGAATGCGCGGGAATGCATGTGCGCCGAGGGAGGCGGGCCGGGGCACACCGCCGCCGGCGAGGGGAGGGGGGAGGATTATGCCGCGGGCTGGTGGGAATATGCTGGACTGCCGCGGCAAACGACGCCAGTGGAGGCCATGGTCCGCGGCCCGTCGCGCGCTCGTGCAAAGAGCCAGGAGAATTCCCCACGCCATCGCCCGAGAGAGCCCTGCAAAGGGCCTCTCCTGCACGATTGCCGCACGCGCGCGCTCTCGCCCCAACAGGCCGGGCGAGACACTGGCCGGGCGCGGGGGTGGGCATTAATTTATCGGCCCATTGCACCCGGGCATGCCAGCAGCCCGGTATCCGACACTAGCGCGGCTAAGGATCTCCCTGCGAACCGGGCCGCCAGGCCCGAGCACATTCCTCGAGCTCCGGTTTACATGGGGAGCATGTGTCGGACGCCCGGCCGGCCCAGGGAGCCGCTGGGCGCCGGAAGGAGGTTGCTCCACCCGGGGCGCAGCCATCGCATGCGGGTGCCCCATCCTCCCTCGTCCGACCGACTGACCGGCAGGCAGACAGGACCTGCGGGGCGGGGGCCACTGTCGCGACATGCTGCAGCCGAAAGGGCGATTCACACCTGATGGGCCCTCCAACAAGGCGGATAATAAAAAACCCATATTACTCGTGCCGCCCGGCCTACGCCCCTTGGCGAAGCGTAAGGAGAAGCCGGGGCGCCCCTTTCGGCAGTGACAACAGCGCCCTGGAGAGGTCCCCACTGCACCAAGCGCGAGGGGCGGGGGGGGGGCGGGGCGCAGTCAGGACCCCCTTGCAACTTCCTGCCAAGCGCCGCGGCGGGGCCCCGGGCCGGCGCTTGACTCGCGTCCGCGTACGCGGGCGCACTCTTGCATTCTCCCGGCCCTCCCCCGGGGGTTTCCAGGCGGCCATACACACGGGCCGGTCGAGCACATTCCTCGCCCGCGCACCACGCAAGTGGTAGGCCCGACCCGCGGCCGCAGCCGAAAGACATGTCATTCCTGGCCCCCTGCGGAACCCCATCCCGTGCCGGCCAATCACCCCACCCCTCGCACACATGCCCGATCACACCACCACGTCCATGGGTCGGCAGCTCACGATGGCAGATCGCGGGCCAAGCCCAGCACCAGCCCCCGCCAATGGGGCCGGCCCGACTCGGACCCAAGATCGCCGAAGCACGCGTGTGTCTGTGTGTCTGTGTGCGTGTGTGTGTGTGTATGGCCACCGGCGGTGTCCTGGCTGGGAGACGCGTTGCGGTTCTTGCCGGCCGCCCTGCCCGCCATCCGACCCCCGGCCCGGAGCGTTTTGATGTACCAGCTGGGAGTCCTTGTTACATGCCGAAACGCCGAGCTAGCTGACTGCCTACCCCTGCCTGCCTGCCTGCCTGCCTCTCGCCTCCCGCCTCTCGCGCCTCCCGCCCCCGCCCTCCCTCTATCTCCCCTCGCCTGCCCTTTCGTTGCCTTCCCGCCCTGGTGCGCATGCTTCGGCGGCACATTTCGCGCGTCGCCCTCGGCCGCACCTTCTGCACCTTCACCCCAGCACCCCGCCTCGTGCCTCGCTGCCGAAGCTTCTCCCACGTGCCCTTCGCCATGGGGCCCCCGGCGCCGGACGCTCGGTCCCTGCCCTGGCGCACATGGGATGCCGTGCCTGTCCAGTCGTCTGAGCGTTTTTTCTGCCTGACAATGGTGCGCGCATGCTCACGCCGCGCCGCCATCGGCAGGACCCCGGTCCGCCTCGGGATACTCACCTACGGCCTGTCCACTGTCGCCCCCCCCCCCCCCCCCCCCCCCCCCCCCCCCCGCTAGCGCCGCTGGGTGGAGAACTTCGAACGCGTCATTCCGCCAGTCGGGCGGGTGGAGATTCGCGGCCAGCCGGCGGCCGTGCTGTCGGCCCTGCTGGCCGAGCAGGCGGATCTCGATGACGAGGCCCTCTTCCTGGAGCGGCAGCGCGCTCTCGAGGCCGGAGACTTCTCGCTGGAAGACAACCATCATCATGACCATGAGCAGTCGCCGGCCAGCCCGTACCATGACCATCCCTTTGGGGAGGATCTTTTGTTCAAATCGCGCGTCGGCCACCTGCCGGTGCGCGTGCTGGGCTTTGGCCCGGCGGCCCTGGCCTCCGAGGTGCCGTCCGATGCTCCCGGCCCGGAGGACATCTATGAGCTCCTGCTCCATGCCGAGCGCACTCTCCACAGCAGGCGCCCGGACAAGGACCAGCCGCTGGCCGAATTGGTGACCCTGGCCCGGTGGCCGGACGCCGACCGAGCGGGCTTCATCTATGCAGCGACCTTTGCCCCGGAGGGATCCCCGATCGAGGTGGCCGCCGGGCTGCCCTTCTACTACCCCCGGGCCCTGGCCTTCCGGCTGCTGTTCGCCCGATCAACCGGCAGCATGGCAGCCGCTCTGGCCATGCAGCCCGAGGACATGCAAACCGGGCCCGGCGGCCCCGGCAGGCCTCTCGAGGGGCGCGCCGGGCCACCCCCGCTGCCCGAGCATCCCGGCCCCTGGATTGCCCTGCAGTATGCTCCCCTGCCTGTGGGATCCGACCTGGGGCCCCGGGCCCCGGCGCACAATGCCCGTGCCTGGCAGCACATCCTGAAAAAGGCGCGGGCCTGGTGCGTCAATGCCCAGGTCGGATACCGGGGCCTGCGCAGCGAGCGCCTGCTCAGCTCGCTGGAGTACTCGGGCTTCGAGGCGCCGCTCGGCGGGACCCGGCCCCGGTCGACCGGCGTCACGCCGGCGTCCGAGCTCCGGTGGACTTCCGGTCGCACCCCGCGCCTCGATCGCGAGTGGCTGTATGTCGCGCTGAAGGAGCGCCTCGGGGCCCGGTGGCTGACCACCTGGTCGGAGTTCGAAACCACCGACCCGGAGAAGAATGTCCACGAGGACTTGGCCATTGCGGCCTACCTGACGGCCCTGTGGCGTGCACATGGGTACTTCGGCCGGCCGGGGTCCCTGTGCGCGGCTCCCGAGGGCGACCGCGAGCCCGCCGCCCGGAGGCGATTGTACTTCGTGGATCTCGGCTGTGGGAATGGCTTCCTCACGTATGTCCTGCGGCAGGCCGGCTTCGAGGGGCATGGTGTGGACCTGGCCCGGCGGCGGATCTGGTCGGCCCTGTCGCCGGAGGCCGATCTTCGTGAGGGTGCGTGTCCAGCAGCGGCGCGGCCAGCCGGCGGGAGCGAGAGATAGAGAAGGAGAGAGAGAGAGAGAGAGAGAGAGAGGGAGGGAGGGAGGGATCCATGTATGTTGCCTGTAGTCGGCTTGCCATTCTGACCTTCCCAATGCAGAGACCCTTCACCTTCCCACCCTCACCCTGGAGAATCCCTTCACCGATGGGCCTCGGCCGGGAGATGTGGTTTGGCTGATTGGCAACCATGCTGACGAGATCACCCCCTGGCTGCCGATCATTGCGGCCCGGACCGCGGCGGCGGCCAGGACCACGTCGGCCACCGGCGAGGGCCCGGCCATCTGCCTCTTCAGCATCCCCTGCTGCTTCCACGACCTGACTGGGCGCTTTACGCAGCTCGGCAAGGACCGGCTGGCTGGGCTGGCGGATCTCTGCGCCGCTGATGGGGTTGCCGGCCCGATGGAGCGTGGCAGCGGTGCCGCTGGCCAGGGCTGCGGCCGCTATGGCGAGTATCTCCTGTATAATGAGTTCCTGGCCCGGCGCTTGGGCCTGCACCTGGAAACCGACCTGCTGAAGATCCCGAGCACCAAGAACTACTGCCAGGTGGCTCGCTTTTGCCGGCGGCTTGGTGCGTGCTGCCAGTCAAGACACGTCCTCCCTCGGGGCTTCCCCCATATCGCTGACACCCTGATGACTCCATCTCCGCCCCTTCGGGGGGGTCGCTTGGGCCGCGGCGAATGCCCAGATCCCGTCGAGCTGGATCGACGCATTGAGGCCCTGCTGGAGGAGGCTGGCTATCGCGGCTTCACCGGGCCTGGGGCTGTCTCCGAGCCGGGCACCGAGGGGGGCGGCATTTGGAAGCCACGCGTTGCCGACCGCGAGCTTACTCGAGCAGCCTTCCTGAAGAAGAAGCTCCGTCCGGCGACACGCTCGGCCTCGCCCCCGGCCCCAATCGAGTGAGTGTGTGTGTGTGTGTGTGTATGTGCCCCGCCCACCCTCTCTGCTTGTGCAGCTATCCTTCTTGACTGCGAACATGGAGACAGGTTTGATGATGGTGTGTTTCGCATGGGATGTACATTGTGAGCTGGGAGGCTGCAAACCAAGCCGCGGGACAGGGGAGGGGGGCGGGGGTCTATGTCGTGCATGGGAGCAGCCTGCCAGGGGGGGAGGGAGGGAGGGAGGCAAGGTGAGCCTAACCTCGGTCCAGGGGTCCGGCGCACTTACGAGGAGCTGGCCGGGGCGGTGCCCGAGGCGGGGGGGATGTTCCACCCGGCAGCGGCGGTCGGCTGGCTTTGCATGGCGGCCTGCAGACGCGCCTCAGCCTCGGCGGCCGCCGCATTGGCCGCCTCCAAGGTCATGAGCTCGTCATACACGCGCCTCCGGCGGTCCAGATCCCAGCGCACGAAGATGTATGCGCCGAGGGTCATCCCAGACAGGATGCCCCTGCGCGAGGACCAGCCAACCGAAAAGACAGAGGAGGAGAGGGGGAGGGAGGAACGGGTGAGCGGGAGAAGAGAAAAGCAACCCGGGGAATGACTGCCACATCCACGGGCACAGGGGGGACGTACCACCACTTGAAAATCTGACGAGGTCCCATGGTGAGCGGTGTGCTGAAGGAGAGGAAGAGGAAGAGGGAGGTGAAGATGGGAAGTAGGGAGGTGCTGGATCGCGGACGTCACTCCGGCGCCGGGTAGGTCGCCCTTTGCGGCTGTTTCCTCCTTTCCCCGCCGGCGGGAAGCCGGACAGGGGATCCGGCCTCGTTCCCGAGGAAAAGACCGCCTGCGAGCGTGCTGCCCTCTGCTCGGCCCTTGCCCGAGGCTTCACGTACACACGGCCAGGCGTGGGAAGCCCCCGGCACATGTGTTTGTGTGCGCCCAGGCAGGCAGGCAGACCAGGAAGAGGGCGGAGCCATCGGCCTCACACCGCGCTGGGCAGCACCCCCCGCCCCCCCCCTGGCGTGAGCGAGGGATGACCCATCCTTCCCTTGCCTGAAAATGAGGTTGGCAGCTGCGCTCCACGTTGATCACGCCAGGTGCCAATGGATGGTGAGGCTGTACAGCGAGTCTGGGATATATTGTCGAGTGCGAGCGGCGAGCGGCGGGCAGCGAACGGCGAGCGACAAGCGGCGAGGCCCGGGGGCGGGCGGGACGATACCCAAAAGCAGGCTCTCAGAGACACGCGCGCACAGATGCATCCCCCGCTCGGCCGGCTGCGAGCACACAAGGGAGGTCTCTCCCTCCCTTGTTACGGATGTGCATGCTCCGTCCCGGTCGACGAGCTACACAGGGAGGGGAGAAGGAGGAAAAGGAGAGAGAGAGAGAGAGAGAGAGCGAGATCAGTCCGACCTCGATGGGAGCACCGGCGTGGGGACCGCCGCCGCTGCTGCCGTCGTGCAGAAGTGCCGGTACTTGCTCCACTTGAGGGCGAGCTTGGGCGGGCCGGCGCCCGTTGGCCGGCCAGCCCGGCGGCCGGCACCGGCGGTCGCCATGCGCGCCAGTGCCTCCTGCGACCCGGGCCACGGGTCGACCGAGATTGTCAGAGTACCAGCCCCGGCGGGCGACCCACCTGCCGCTGGCACGGATGCCCGGAGGATCGAAGTGACCCAAGCCAACCGAGCCAAGCACCCGAGTGGCGACACGTCGTCACCCGACCCGGCCGCCTGGCGAATCAGTCGCAAGGCCGGGCTCCCGCCAGCATCCGGCCAACTCGGCAGCAGCAGGGCCAGGGCGGCCTCACGCTGTACCAGCACGACGGACAATGCCGACGCGCCGCCGGTGCTGGGGGCCTGGTCGAGAGGCCAGGCGATCCGGACATCGGTCTGGCCACGGGCACTGAGAGCCGTGGCCTCGGCCTCCGACAGGCAACGGACCCCGCCCGCGGCCCCGGGTCCAAGTAGACCAGCCAGCTCCGAGTGCAGGCTTGTGCCCCCATCGGGCGAGCCGGGCTCCAGCCCCAGGGCCCGGGCTAGGTCGGCCGCGAAGAAGAAGCGCTCTTCGCTGCCCGGGAATCGGGCCTCGCGAAGGGGCTGCACCGGGCCCAGGGCTTCCAGCGGTGCCTGCATGTCATGCAGCAATGTCCCATTCGCTGGGAGGGAGAGGGACGCCGCCGCGCAAGTTGAACACAGACAGGCCGGCCGCTGATCACACTGCGTGCAGAGGCCTGGAGCGATGGCACACCATGGTGA